ACTGTTTAATCGGCCAATACATGATTAAGCGTGGGTCGCCACAGGTCATGTCAGACTAATCCTTGGCATTATCAAGGACAGTAAACGACGAATAAAGTCAGTTAACCGATATCATCCTATCCTATCCGGATAAGTAAATGAGGTTATAGTCCATGTACCATGATTCACTCCCTTCTGACAAATGTTCGAACTTAACCTATAGACAAACAATACGAAACCAATGTTACGAATAGTTTGGCCAAAACAACAATCACTAGTAATTCTAACAAGTTGTATTTTGTTTTCATAGGTATATTCTTTCAATAGCAAAGCCTGTTTGATTTTTTTTCTTTCGAGCAGGCTAGTTTTACGAGAGAAATGTCAATGATTTGAAAGCAGGTTTATGAGCAGAATTTACTAGTACCCGATTCAGAGAACCTATTTTGTACATCTAGTTATACAATCCCATCATCAACCTTTTGCCCAATCAAAATGTACAATCCAATCAAAATACCTTTACGCCGATTTTCGACAATTTTGACCCTAGAACTGCCCTAAAGGTAGTTCAGTTATAGCCCTTGTTTTCACACAAACCCGCACGAGTATATGTATGTGTGCAAATCAAGAGCTAAAAGCTCCCTAGGGGTTGAGGGTCGAACTTTCCCAAATTTTCCTACATAAACTTAAAAATCGTTGGGTTTTTTGCACTCTTTTTCTTCCAAGTTGTATTGTTGTCTAAAAGCAATTTTTGTATCTCTTATAACAAAAATCCAACTGTTCGGAGCCTACTCGAGTACAAACACGATTCAAAACTTTATTATAACCATACAAGTGCGTATGCAACACATTATCATACCAAATGCAGAGTCAGAAAACTTTCTCCTACCATGTGATTATAGTGCCAAAACATTTATTACAATTGGCTCAACGCACTCACTATAATTTTAGTATGAGTGCATGTAATCCAATAGTATCCACAAGGTAGAGGCTAATGCTTACCGATATAATCATCCTAGTTAGTCTCATCCATCAGTAGAGAAAAAAGACTCACATATATTGGGGTTTAAACTCAACACAGAATAAATCAAAGCTTTCGTCCAGAAAAAAATGAGAGATGTTAGCTTCATATTGACAATTATTCATCACCACTGACACATCATCCGTGAAAATTAGTTAAACAATGCAGACAAGGTAAATACAACCTCTATGTTCCTTGCATGGCCAAAAAACTATATAGAAGGGACAGAGTGTAAATTTATCACAAACAAGCAAAGCACCTCACAACATTATTTCCTCATGCATATCATGCTCTCTACAACATTATTTCCTAATGTAAATCATGCTCTAGAAGGGCCAAAGAGTGTAAATTTGACATATACGATCAACATTCTTACCTCAAGCATACAACTGTTGAACTGTTGAAGGGCCATAGAGCTTACATTTGTCATATACAATCAAAGCACCCATCATCTTTCTTTCCTCTCAAGCATATCATGCTTCAGTTACATAAGCTAAACTATAAAGATCCCATTAGATCTTAAGTGGTTTGAAGTTCAATCTAAGATAGCTCCCTTTGAAAAGCTTCAGCAAAATACCACCATAGTGTATAAGCTCAACATAATTGCCAAGTACCACAATTATTTCGTCAAAACACACCATACCAAACATACCAAACTAAAACCCAACATTACCAGAAAAAATACAAAGAAATGCATAGACAACTTACATTTGGTCAATCTCCATCACAATTCAACAATAAATCATAGCCATTCAACAAGTAATAAATGTAGAAAAATGATTGGTGACAATAATACGAAATTAAGCAAAATTTTCAAGATCCATTCTTATATCCCATAACAAAACCTAAATACCACAAGTCAACAATTTCTTTTCAAATGATCAATAAAATCCTCGAGGGACTAAAAACCAGTAAACAGACGATATTCAAACAAAACACCAGCCACATGCTCAGAGTCGGGGAAC